TAGTAGTAGGTAGAGAGAGAGAGAGAGAAGAATATAGTATAGTAGTTAGTAGTGTAGTAGAGAGTAGAGTAGTGTGTGTTGTTTTGTTGTGGTGTGGGGNGGGGGGGGTAGGTTGGGTTACTAAGGGGAGAGAGAGAGAGGGCAAAGGAGGTGGATGGAAAGAGATTGCCCTTTTCTGATTGGGCCTCCTATGAGCTATACACTCATTTGAATTGATTTTATTCGGTTCCATTAGGAAATCTGATGGGGAAATTGACTTTTTAGCTTGTAGAAATTTCTGTATTTTGGGCTCAAAATAGAGAAAATGATATCTGGCAAAAAGATTTCTGCCAGATTTTAGATCCAAATGGCAGAAATGGGCAATCTCCCTGGAAAATCATTTCGTGGTAATCTTTCTCAGGGTCCAAACGAACCCTGAAGAAACTGTAGCAACAAACTTTAGTTCTCAGCAACTCATAAACATGCCAAATTTTTGTGTTTCTTGATGTTTTGGGGCTAATTTTCTTTTTTAAATGCATTGAGTGTTTGTGGATTTTTGTGAGTATTGTTGGTAAAGAATCCCAGATTATCAGCTTCTCTCAAATCTGTGTTGGTATTGATGCAGCTCAATTTTCTTGAAGGTCATTGAGAGAGATCATTGGATATGAGCCTTTAGCCTTACTGATATCAACATAAGTCATATTGATGGCTCACCAAATGGTTTTTCTAATAAGATTACAGATTTATGTAGGATATTAGGTGCCTGCTTTGAACACGAGTTCATAGATATATGGAAGTGAAATCAGGATGGTCTCAAATGCATTGCCAGAGGCTTTAGTTGGGCTATGTTCCTTTAGTTTGCGCATTTTGCTCGTCTTAGTGTCCTGCACTTCCCAACTTTCATAATCCTTGAGGAAGGCTTGAATTGTCTTCAACAGTTATGAAGGATCTATTTTGGTTTTGCTTGAAGGCTCTATTTTGGTTTTGCTCTGGAATTTTTTTTCCCCTTACGTAATTGGCATTCTGGACTGATTATTCAATAACTGAAATGGTAAATTTGTCTTTTCAGGCAGGTTCTTGAGCTGGTAGGAGGTTGTAAGGGCATTGAGGATCTCAGTCGGTTGAGTAGAACACTGTACGAGAATACTTGCAGGTAGCTGCAAATGCCAAACTGTCAATATTTTTTTTGACACTGATTTTGCATGCGACAAATTGTCAAGTACAGGTGTTAGGTTTGCGCAATTCCTACTTGTTACATTTGGTTGGTTATTGAATGCCGTGAACATTTTTGTACATCTCTTTTTTAGATAAAGTGAGTTGTGTAATATGAAACTGAACCCATTTTCTTCAGCATTTAACACACATCCGGTCTGATGGACTCAACATGGTTGGCTAGATATCAGACCCTCTCAGTTTCTTTGGGATTTATACTGATCAAATATATCATGTATCGTATTTTTTATTGTATACTATTAGACCATTCACTTTTGGTACAACGAGGTCACAAGCACATGTAGCTATTGGATGTGTTATATCCAATAGCTTAAGTGTGTCTCATAGTTCAAGAAACTATATTTTTGAACTTTGTGCTCAGTCAATGACACACCCCTCGTCACCCAATTTCACATCTAATAGTTGATAATGATTGTGACTTCTTATGCCTAAAGTAAATGAGATCTCATAATATACATTTCCATCTTTTTTGCAATCTTCATTTTTCTAATTAACATCATCTGTAGTATCTCGTTTTGGCATCAATCTTGATATCTAGTTCTTATAGGCTGAAGATTGTTGGAGGACGAGATGAATGGCCCAGATTTGTGTTAAAATTGAGATTTTGAGCAAAGTAGTACCCCAAAATTTGTTGTGATGTGTGTGTGTGTTTGGTTGGTTGCTGTTATAGGACAAGTCCGAATATATGGTCAAATGAATGGTAATCTGAACCGAGGCTGCTGTGCTTTGCAGGGTATTCTTTCCACAAGACATAGACACCATGGCAAATGCTTTGATTTCCAGTGGTGACCACGATATTTTGTGAAAATTGTAATCGAATATTATTGGACCATCTACAGCCAATTTCTTAAATCTCATGGGGTTGAGGTAGACATAGGCCATCAACGATAGTTGCAGACTAGATGTGGTATTATCAACTTTGGCATGTTTCTCATCATTTGGCTAGAAAATAATAATTGTAACGATGTTATTTCCAAAGCCAAATCAGCCATCATGTAAGGTAGTCATTATATTCGGGTATGTTTGACAAAACATGATTCTAACCTTTGGATTTTTAAACATATGAATGAAAAGCATTGCTGGCTTCTCATGTTTTTTGAATTTGTTATTATCTTGATACGTGTTCTCTTGTGTTTTGTTTGACTGTTAGCCTGTATTTCAGAAATATAATAAATTTGATATTTATAACTGTTTGGTAGTGAATTTGAATTTAAATGAGACTGAATTTATCTCTTGACGATTTTATAGCAATGGAACATGAGTATCCAACAATCAATACATTCCAAAAGATTTTGATGGTCTCTCATTTGTCGGCAGTTATATCAAAACTCAAACAGCAGAGCAAGAACTTACCTTTGTATAATTACATAAACATGGAACAAAGGGAAAATATAAACACAGAAACAAGAGGAATGAGCAGCTAAAAAAACGAAACCCTAACTTAATGTGATTCTCCTTCTGCAATGCAAAGTTTCAATCTCAAGCTTCCCATCATGACAATAACTCTCGTGCCATTTCATTTTCAAAGTGGAACTTACCACCCCAATGCTCTCTAAAATTGTCTCGTCTGGCTCTCAATATTTTCCTCTTTAAAACCCTCATTTGTTTGTCTATTCAAAACCTTTAGAAGTGTGGACATGGAACCAATCTTCAATTCCTCCTTGTCAATGCTAGTCCCTTTATAATTCTGCCTTTCATTTTACGAATTTTCTCTTACAATTTCAATGAGCCGATAACTTCACCAATTTTCTTCAACCCCAAATTCAAATTGAGATCCCATAATTTTCCCGCAATTGAATCCCATTGACAACATAAATCTCTTCCTGGACTCGCTTTTCCTGTTTTTTCTCGCTTCTGTAATCCCAATTCGATGGTTTCTCTCTTTGGCCCCTACATTGGCCCTTTAGTATAGGCTTGACTTAAAGCTCTGGTCTGTTAGCAAGTGAAGTGCCTGACCTCCTCTATGGATTTGCTATAAGGGTCCGGAGTATCACCCCGACGGAAAGCTTATGTTCCAACCTCAATGATTGAGTTTGTTTTCTATATGCCCTATTTCAGTCTCTCTTTCTCACCGAACATGTGGCAAATCTATAGCATTGTTTTGGCACTCAATGTGCCAATCTAACCTGAGATCAAGTAGGGTTAGCACTTGGAGCGCCAGCGACTCCAAGAGCCAATCCGACTTGAGCTTCAGGTTCGGTTGGCTCTAGGAATGCTTACTTGGAGTTATTTTGAAAAAATAAAAAGAAAAGGAAAACAAGAACTTGTGTAAAATATAAAAGTTTTAAGGACACATTTTAAACCCTAAAAAAGAAGAAGAGAGATTTATGAAAATTGTCATGTCTTATAAGATGACAAATAAATGTAAGGGTCTACCATGGATATGAGTTTTAAAAATGCCAATCTCAAAATCAATTTTTCAGACAAACACATTTGATGTGCACCATTAAATGGAAGGGGGTGTCAGGTTTAAGTGATGTCTAAGTACTCTTATAGTAAGATTTCAAGAATAATGAAACTACGAATACTCATGTTCTTTTTCATTATGTGCTTTAAAAATGTGCAACTTTCATATTGTATTTAATTTTTATTAGCAAGAGAAGAATAGAAATTTATAGACTATCTAGACAATTTTTATTAATCTTTATTTTTTTTGTCCAAATTTCATTAGTTAAATTTTGTTTTGGTCAGGTTTTTTTTTAATTAGGACCCCTACCTCAAATGTGTGCATTTTTTATTTTTTTTTAGAGGAAAAATAACAATGATCTAGAATGGGGATTCCAATTAATCCAGTCCAATTCGGGTGATTCCTAAGTCAGATCATGCTACATATAAGTTTTAAACAAGAGAAAAATATCCTAGAAAACAAAGAGATTTGGCTAATTCCAAGAATCTTGAGCCTAAAATCAGCCTGCCGATCCGGTCTGACTCGAGCAACTTACGAGTCAAATGGGAGATTTTTGAATCACTGACTCTCTTTCTCTCTCTCTAGACCTGACTCATATGATTCGTGCCGATTCATATTGAAGCTGTTCGCGCTCTATTATCATCCATCCATTTTTAAAAAGTAGGGAAAATGTAGACTATATTTCTTTCTTATCTTTCTAAAAAGGGATGGCATATAATTATTACGGTGAACCCACATGGCCTATTGATCTTTTATATACTTTTTCAGTAATAATTTTAGGTATGATTGCATATAAGGTGGGTCTAGCTATTCTAGAACCTTCAATGATTGGTGAATCAGCAAATTCATTTGCAACTCCTTTTGAAATATTACCCGAATGGTACTTTTTTTTTGTATTTCAAATGCTCCGTACAATACCTAATAAGGAACCAATTGAGCTGTCATAACATAAATTAAATAAGAGCAATGATTTCATGCAACGGTTGTATAGTAATATGATGCCACAACTTTAAAAAACTATCTTATGGCCATTTGTTTGATCCAAAATTTGAAATATACACTCTTTTTATTCCAATGAACAATAAAAAAAAATCAAAAATTGAAAAAACAACTTAGAAAATATTTTTTTAGCCCAATTAAGATTGGCTGTTTATTTTGGTGAGATGCTTAGGTCTAGGCCTTAGAAGGATTTTTTCATTTCCAATTTTTTTGGATAGCTTTATTATTATTACATGAACAATGTTAAAAATGACAAAAATTATTTTGAGTTTATAAAGGCTAAGATCTTGAAATTCACCAAATGAATGGTCTAAATTCGTTTTTGGAGGGGACTCATTTTGACCGTATTTGCAAAATTTGGAGTTATACAAAACCACAAACATGGTTTCCTAGAAGTATCGTTGCATTATACTATGATACAACTGTTGCATTGGATCATTGCTCATTAAATAATGAGTTGTAATGAGTTATAAAGTTCATCGTTTCTTCATTGATGAGACGTCAAACTTCTTATTTTAGTAGGACCACTATGTCACTACAGAATAGCTGCACTCAAAAGCCGAGTACTCTACTGTTGAGTTAGCAACCCATAAAAAAATAAAAATACCGTACCAGACATGATAAAAAAGTTTCAAGTTCGGTTTTGCATTAGAGATGTTTGGTTTTTTTCCAGATTTGGCGAGTATCTGGAGTAACTAGTGAATTACAACTCTATTGTACTACAATTGGTGCTTTGGTCTTTGCAGTGTTAATGCTTTTTGTCGGTTAGTTATATATATATATATAAATCTTAACTCTTCACATAAAGAAGAACCATTGTTGGATGTCAAAGTGCAATTTAAAGTAAAAAAGATTCTAGATTTTGCATGAGAAGTAGGGATTGCAGGGTGTGGCTTCTATAAGGTTGTGGTTTAGTTCGGATGGAGGTGTCTGATTGCAGTAAGGTACTTAATGTAGGGAGGAGTAGGGTTATGGTGGTTAGGACGGAGGGGTGATCTAGCATCTGCGGAGGGATGAGGAACCAGTCACCTTTTTTTAAATTGATTTGAAATTACATGCCTTCACCATGATAAAACTTTAGAAGTTGGAATCAATAAACAGTGGAACAACATGTCTTTATTGTGATAAGTGTTTATTTAATATTCTTTTATTTGTGTTATAAGAGCATCCCTATTTACATAAAGGATAAGACGAAGTTAAAAAATTAAAAATATTTTGAAGAAGTTGTTTACATGAAGGATAAGACGAAGTTAAAAAATTAAAAATATTTTGAAGAAGTTTTTTACATGACGGATAAGCCGAAGTTAAAAAATTAAAAATATTTTGAAGATGTTTGGTTAGTAAGTTAGAAGGAGGCGGGTGTACCAAATGCGGTATTTAGAGAAAAAATATGTTTATGGTGTTGGACGAGACCGAAGAGATATCTTAATTGAAGTAGGTTTTTTACTAATTTCTTATCATGTTTATGTTTTGCAATTTTTATTGTGATCATATAGTTTCTCATTGATTATTAATTATTTTTTTAGACTTTGTATTACATTATTTTATGATAGTTGGGTTTATATTACTCTTGTTTCTTATTAAGATGCAAGTGATATTTTTAATCTTAAAAACTCTCATTTTATTTTGAGCGCTTTAGTGGGAATAGCCTTGTTTTAAGGATTAATAAGAGATCTCATGAATTCCATTAATTGTGTTCTCCGTGTTTATTTGGTAATTTTTGTATTAGATTTATATTTGACTTTATAGTTTTTGTTAACGATTAATGCATTTAATATTTTGCAGATGAATTTTGACTAGGAGATATAAAATTGAGGCAAGTGTTTGAGATTTATATTGAAAATATCATTTTTAGAAATTTATATATGGAAAAAGCTAACAAACACCGGCAGCTATAATGAATAGTAATATAGGTGGAATCCCAACCGTCAAATCTTCATCATGTGGTTCAAAATGTATATCACTATATAAACTTTAATATTTTATTTAGAAATCGGATCATAATGAAATTTTAGATGTGTGTACTAAAAATAAGGTGCACAATTAAAAAATACATAAAAAATATTTCTCAAAATATAAAATGATCAAAATACCCCTGAAAAATTATGGGGGTAATTTGGTTAAAATAATTTTTTAAATATTTTTATATGGTGCACAATAATGTTAGGTTTATACACCCAAAATTTCATCTTAATCAGATTTATAAAAAAAAATTAAAATTAAAATAGTGATATATATTTGAATCGATGAAGATCTGACGGCTGAGATTCCACCTCTATTACTATTCATTATAGCTGCCAAGTGTTCGAAAGGTTTACTATATATGTAAGATGCTACCTGTAAGCCTGTGGGCTTACAGGTAAAAATACATCAATGGCTCAGATTGAATCTGCGCCGATATGTTCATATGGGCTAATGGGCTAATCTTAGCA